GTAGCGTTTGGTAGAGTTTTCTAAATATGATTTAAGAATATTATATTTTGAGTTTGTAAGTTTTGGAATTATGATTTAAGTGTAGAAAATTTGTTTAGTGAATGAGTTTTAAAAAGAGTTTTTGAATTGAGTGATGTGATATAATTTTTGATACAAAAACATAAAATTCATAACCAAGTACACAACTCAAAATTCTATTCAAAGCTTATAAAAAATTTATAAAAAAAAATCAAAAATATTTTTATTTAAAATATAAAAATTACAGGTGCAAAAAAATAAATAAATACGAACACTGTAGCGGTCAACTGGCCGGACGTCCGAGGGATGACTGGGTACACAAATTTTCAAAAGCGAGTGTGGAAATAATTTTTGAAAACTGTAAACAAGCGCCGCACTCAAACTAAAAGATAGAATCATGATTCAAAAACTATACCAAACATAACCTAAAACTCCGTTTCTAGATCATTTTTGCTCCACTGAACTGGTTGGACTATCCTTCGGCGGACAACAATTGATCCAATAGCACCAATAATGTCTTGTTTTGCAGAGTCGTGACACATTGTTCATTTCTTTATTTAACTCTTCGCCATCCAAGCGTGTTACTTTTTTCACCTCATTTACAAGGTTGATTTGGTTATGTTAGGCCAAACCATTTCTAAAGCGATGACAAACAACAAGATAAAGGGCAATTGCGGTAAAATAAGTAGAGAAATAATCTTATTTAGGGTAAATTCGACTCAATTGTGGCATACTCTTAAAAGCCACACCCTAAAAAAAAAAAAAAAATCATATACACTAATCATTCATGTTTTCTTATAAATTTAAAAAAATCCATTCTCAATTATTATTTTCATCTCATAAAAAAATTAATAAAATTACTAAAAAGGCCACACCCCAAACGAGGCATTAAACTAAGCCAAAAGAAAAAAAAATTATAATCATTTAATCAGATTCTCTAAATCATTTTCTTTCTTTTTACAATTTTCATTTGTTAAGATATCTCTTTTTGACGATAGATTATAGGAAAATTCTAATATATATATCCTTTTGAAAAGGGTGTATATTTTCATCTTTGGTTAAGATCAATTTTTTGCTTTAGTTATAACATTATTTTAGTTATAACTCATGAGTTCTTTAGTTATGGATTATGTTGTATATAGTTATGATATATATCCTTTTGAAAAGGGTGTATATTTTTTTCTTTGGTTAAGATCAATTTTTTGCTTTAGTTATGACATTATTTTAGTAATAATTCATGAGTTCTTTAGTTATGAATTATGTTGTGTTTAGTTATGATATATATAATTTTTTAATTATGACTCAAAAATTAAAGTTATGTTATTTTTTTTTTTAGTTATAAGATGCATATAATACACACTTTTTAAAGAATTTACACCATAGTATTTCCCTAAATAATAACCTAGTATATATATATTTTTTAATTTAATAATTTAAAAGTCATTTTGTCATTTGTCACCACCCACACCAGTCATCATCACCATAGGCCACCCAACCTCTAGCCACCATGGCTAGTGACCTTCTCCGGCCATCATTTCTTGTTTGAAAATCACCTTCGGCCACAATTTTCAACGACCGACCACTATACCTAACCATCGACAATCTTCTTTTATTACCATTTTTCACAGTCGGCAATCACTTTCAATCACGGCCAATCACCTCTTGTGTTTAACAATAACCTTCGACAAGTACCTCTATGTGGCCGATAACTGCCTCCGACTACCATCTACGATCATTGACAATCACCTCTCATCGGCCACCCCTTTCACTTGTTTTAAGAAAAAAAAAATTGAAACACACTTGTATCATACCAAATATATATATGTATAAATGTTTTGTTTTTGTTTACTAAAATAAATAAATACATGTGTAATGCTTATTTGTAAATAAAAAAAATTAAACAAACTATAAATATTGCCAAATAACACCTTTAACATTTCTTATCTTTCTCTTTTTAAATTGAAGGTCATAGCATATAAGAAAAGTAAAATCTTGCCAACAACAAAACTTGAAGCCTTCACCTCTTAACTGGGCTAGTCCCAATTCCTCCAAAGAACTTTACCTACCAAAGTAATTCTCTTGCTATTTTTGTATAATGACTACTTACATAAACTTTTTCTGTGATTCTTTTAAATTATTTCTTGTACTTTCCTCAGCTAGATCTGATGCTCCAGTAGAATTTAATGGTTTGCACCAATTTGAAAAATGTGCATATCTCTTGTAGGAGAAGTTCTTTAATGGTTTTGGGATGATTTGGGAAATTGGTTAAAGTTAATTTTTTGATTTTTGTTTTTTAATCTTTTTGTGTGTAAAAAATATGAAAGGTGATGTGACCCAAAATGAGTAAAAAATTAAAAGTTGGGTTTTCAAATTGCCCCATAATCAGACGATGCTCAAGAATATTATGATTCATAAAGATGTGGAACTCATGATTTTGTATTAATATATAGGGACAATTACATTGTAGTGATGTCAGGAGATATTAATTGCACAATAATGAAAAAAATTATAATGATAGTTATTAATATTTATATAGTTTTTTTTATTGATTTGAAATTTGTTTTCAAAAACCACATTGATGTGTAGCTTTCCCTAAAATATAAGAAAAGAACAAGAGGATTAATGTTTGATGGGGGCAATGACACGTGATGTCTTGAATCGCCTAATAATTTTTTCCCATGTAGCCATACAAAATACAACAATAGTGATACAAAATGTTTTAAACACACAATACACAAATATGAGACAAAGAATATTTACATTTTTGTAATTGCAAATATATTCTGTTTTCCTATACATTTCCATAATAATTTTTATTTTCGTTTTTTGGATTGACCTTAATAGCTAGCTGCCTTGTGGACGCAAAGATAAATTGTACTTTCATACATCAATGTGTCTCCTCCTCCTACTGTTGAAGATGACATGTCTATGGAATTTGTTAATTTGCATTAAATTGAGGGTTGGGCTTCCCTTCAGTTTGTGATCGGATTGAAAGGTACCGTTAAGTTCGTGGAGACCCATTACGAGTCTCGTTTTGATAATCTGAACCGTTCAATGTGTAGAACTTGTCGAGTACTATATGTTTATAAAAAATCACATTAATCGGATATCGATATGTATTTCATCCGATCATATTTCATTAACCGTTTATTTTTTTACCGTCTATTTTTTTTTATATTGATTTGATCACGTACCTATCGATATCCGATCAACGTGTATTTTTACAAGCATATAGTACTCGACGAGTTTTACATATTGAATAGTTCAGATTATCGAAACGGAACCCGTAGTGACTCTCATAGGCCCAACAACACCCTCCAGTCCGATCACGGACTTGAATGAAGCCAGCCCCTTAAATTAACATGCAATGTCATAGGTCTTACAAATAACAATCCTAAGAACTGTCAATAAACATCACAAAAGTTTATAAAATCAAATATCAAAAAAAATTTCATACATTTCAAAATATTTTTTTTATATTTCAATGCATTTTAATATATTGTGTGGATGTTAATTTTTGACCTCACTACCAAATAGATCTCCTGTTGAGATCTAGAAAACTTAGTTGAAGAGCACGCGGCAGAATAGATTAAGCCAACACTTGCCCACAAAAAGACAAGAATTACCGCAGTGGCTCGTCTACTCAAAGGTACTCCAACGATCAAGTCAGTGAACAATCTCACAATATCTCAACTCAATCAACAGTGCACAAGTAAAAGTATACCTTAGACCCACGGGAGTACCTTACTTTTATAGCCACTAGTGCCCTCGTCCCCTAGGAGTCTCAATTTATAGGACTCAAGCACAATGCTTATTTCGGACTTGTAGATAAATTCCTCAAGAGCCTCATCCCTATCCGAACTATGTGTCTCATTTATTTAGGACTCTTGTCCTTTGTTAAAATATCTCGAATTTCGATATTACCGTATCATATCTCAGCAATCTGACTCGTCCACGTGACACCTCGGACAACATTTCAGTCATATGGCACGACCTCAAAAATACGTCCCAACATACTGTTTACACACTTTTCAACACCAACCCATTGTTCATTATATGCCTTTGAAGATAGTAACACTACAAACTTAGAAATCCAAGTAAAAAATTTATGAATAAATTATGTAAATAGTCTTTATAATTTGTCCGTCTTGTCATTTTTGATTCCTTTATTTTCAATCTGCTCAATTTTATTTTTTAATTTTGAATTTTGTCTCAATGTGAGCTAATAAAAAAAAGTTGGTTAGAATTTCAAGCAGACATTAGACACGTGGATGGCACGTAACCTTTTGTAATGGTTTTATCTCATCATCTCCGTCTCTATCTTCATCTCCATCTCCTTTCACACTTTTTCTGCAACAAAAAAACTACCATCTTCGACGACTCGCCATCGTCGTTGCCAGAACCAGCAGCCACCATCACCTTTCCAATTCCACCATCTGCTTGCTTGTTCCTTCCCCCTTCCCCTACCACCGCCAACACTGTTCGCAATCGACACCAACATTGCAACCACAATGAAATCAAAAACAAAAATCAATCTTTCAAGCATCAATTACTTGGATCTGTTAGCCAAAAAGAGAAAAAGGACAATGAATCGGTTGCTGTCTTCCTCCGCCTTGCCCCTCTCCTAGCCTTCTACCCCTCACTTCCCTTTCCCCAGCCCCTAACATCGCCCTACTCCTCCCGCCCAACCTTTAATACAGGCTTTTTTCCCATTTCCCACCTTCGAATGTCGTCTCACTCTCCTGCGCCAACCACCGACGTGGTCTTTTTGCCATTCCCACAACCTCCGACGTCGCTTCATTCCTCCACCCGAACCTCCAACGCCGCCTTCTACCCCTTTCACGATCTCTGACGGCGGCTCTCATCTCCTTCTCAATCTCTAACGTTGCCTCTCTCTGTTTACTCAAATCCTCCATGCTGCATTCTCTCTCTCTTTCTCTGACCTCTGCTCTTCCCTCTTTCTGAAAACTATATTATATTGTTTTGAGCGAGTGAACTCATAATATCTCACCGAGTTTGATGGGTTTCGGGCAAATGAACCATTTTTCCCTTCAAAACACGTGCGATCCTTATGCATATTCCCGTTAAAAATATTAACGGTGGTTACTAATTCAATTAAATTGGAGCAAAATTTAATATTGAAAGTGAAAATTAAACAAATTAAAAATACGAGAACTAAAATGACAAACAAAAATATAATGGTGCTGGTTGGGAAAAAGAAATTGAGGCTATTGTAGCCTCATATATAAAATAAGCCAAAAAGTGTGAACAGTGCACGCGTGTGTACAACTAGGTTACAAACAGGGGGTCAAATTACCATTTTATCCTTTGACTATTTCAAAGGGTATGGGTTTATACACAGCTGAAACAAAAGCCTCTGCCCTATTCTCATCTCTTTCGTTCCGTCTCTCACAATCGACTGCAGCAACACGAGTTTGCGACTGATCTCTCTCCGGCGGAGCTTTACCTTCTACACAACACAACCGGCGACGAACTACGGCAGGTAAATCACCTGAACTGATTATATATGTGTTTGTTACCTTTGTCAACTCGATTATGTTCATTTTCCATTCCGATCTACAAGATCTTGCTATGTTTTGGCCCATAGTGATGGTATTCGATGGATATTTACACCGATCTGGTGATGATCCATCTTTCCCCAAATTTAAATTGCCGACAACAATGCTTTTTTTTTTTTCCTCCCTTAAGTTAAATGGCTCATAATAACCCAAAATATTGTGTTGAGCTGTTTTTTCCCCCCCTTGATTTCCATAATTATCAATTAACAATCCGAAGGTGCAGATGATTAGGTTTGGAGTTGGAAATAATTTTTTTTTTTGGTTCAAAACAATTACATTCCATATTTTGATCTTCGTACTAGTTGCTTGAAATCTGATTTTGTATGCTGTGTTTTTCCCATTTTTTTTTTTCCTGTTAATCTGTGTTTGTGCATCATATATGAAATGGAGCAAATTTTTCATAATAATCTGTCAATCTGTGTTTGTTAATTAAGATTGCAAGCCATTGGAATTAAGGGTAGAAAAAAAACAAATTAAAATGAATTAATCTGACTTTCGTGATTGGAAGCCATTGGAATTAAAACAAAAAAAATTTAATTAATCTGAATTAAAACAAATTAAAGCCATTGGAAGCCACTGCAAGCCATTTTCCTGATTTTGTCAATAAAGGTAGAATAAAAACACTTTAAAATAAATTAATTTGATTTTGTCATTTTCCTGAAAAAATAAATTAAGACTGCAAGCCATTGGAAAATAAATTATATTCTTCACTTGTAATATACCTTGATTAGAGCAATCAAAATCAAATTTCATACAACAAACTAAAATGATTGAACTCTTATTTTAAAGTGTTTTATTTTTTATTTTTTTATATATTATTCAAATATGCAGCTCTATAATTCTGATTTATAGAGTTGCATTGTGGAACTTGTCATGCCTCATATGCATATCAAATTACAGGCAGCCATGGGCCAGTTCATTCTCATAATTTTAACATTTGGAATATATTTGTAGTTTATAAATTCTTGGACAGGACTTAAGATGGGAAATTCTAATTTAATCCGTTAGAAATATTATAAATTATAATTTATAATTTATAATTACATATATCACAGTTGGGCTTAAAGTAAAATATTTCTGAAAAGACCTACATTTACTTAACAATGAAGTTTGTTAATGTTTCATATTCAAATAATTATGAAAACAGTCTAATTTATTTAATAGCTCTTCAAGATAAATGACAACAACATAGCTGATATGTATTGGTTGAGTGGTTTATTTAAGAGTTAAAATGATTCAATGTCGGACTAGGCCAAACTTTAGATGACATAGCATGTTTGTTTGGATAGAATCACATCACAAAAACATTATTTATACTAAAGATAAACCTGTATTCTCTGTAAAGTGTACTAGAAAAATTTTAAAAATTACTATTTTTACTAAATATTTCTTAGTAAGAAAAAGCGGATGGCTTCCTCTATGTCCACTAGCACGTCAACATGGCCATGACGAATGTGTGCTTGCGGCTATGGCCATTGTTTTGTTAAGGTTTCCAGATCCCACAAAAATCCTAGTCATGCATATTATGTTTGTCATCGGCCCGTGGTGAGTTGTGTAAAATATGTTATTTGAATCTCCATTGATTGGCAAAATTGAACATTCATAGCTAACCACAGTTATGTTTGTTGCTCATCAGCAATGTGTAAATTGGATTGGTTGGTGTGATGAATTAGGGAGACCGAGCCCCGACCATGACTCATCCCCAAGCGAAGTTATGCAGTTACGGGCTGATATCGTGCAAATTTTTAATACCATGTGTGTTATGAAAACGGTTATTTCTGTGTTGTGCATAACGGTTATCATAATATTACTACGCATGTAAAACGTTGTAACAACATCGTGTATGTACGTTGGATGCTTGTTTAACTAGTAACTGAAGTTACAAAACTGGACTACTGTAAATGCTACTTGCTATTATTAGTTGTGTTCTACTTTTCTCCTTCCTTCCAGTTTACTTTTGCATATCATATTTGCTTGTGAGATGTTGTCTATTTTCCGTTTCTAATTTATGTAACATGTGTACACTACCTTGTACCGTAATTAGTTCAATGACGGCAACATGTTCATCCCCTCGAACACCGTCCAAACATAAAGGTGTTGGACACTTGCCTAGTGAAGAGTTGGCTGATTACATTGATCTTTCACATAAAGCAACTTGGGACAGTGTATCAACCGAAATATTCTTAGAGTGTGTGCGAGAGAAAATTTTAGCGAGACGTAGGCTAGGTACAACTATCACAGTTGCCAGGTATAAGGAAATTGCTGTGAAATTCGCTCAGTGCACGGGTAGATATCATGACATGAAACAGTTCAAGAACAAGTACCTTGCTTTGAAAAATGAGTGACAGGCTTAGAATAAGTTGATGGATAGTAGTAAGGGTGTAACTGGCACTGGGTTTGACAGGGCAACCGGGTTGTTCACTGCGACAGAGGAGTGGTGGGAAAATTTGAAATCGTTATGTAATATGTTGTATATATTTGTAGTGTATTGTTCACTTCATATTCGTAATTAACTTGGTTATTTGTATTTTACTACTTTAATTTGGTTTTTCTAATTTTTATTCTTCTCATTTGCAGACAAACAAGCTAGCGTACAAATTCAAGACCAAGCTATTAGAGCATGAAGATTTGATGCGGGGAGTTTTTACAGGTGCAACCACGACTGGTAAACATCATTGGACCCCCGGCGAGCAAGTTGCGGAGATTGTGGACAATGAATCCGATTCAGTTGACTCCCCTGGGTTGCAGTCATTTACTGAGCCATATCAACCGGTGGTGGACTCACCACCATCCTCCCCCATCGTCCAGGTAGATGAAACGGAGCAGAGGTCAAAGCGCAAGAAGGGGGGTAGTACAAGTGGAAAGTCGAAGAAGCCATCCAGTGGCGCATCAGTGCTTGCAGACTGTTTCAACCATCCCTCTGAGGCGGTTCGTTCACAGAAGCACCTTATAGTTAGGCATGGAACTGGTGCATCTCAAAAGTATGGCATTGAGGCATGCATGCAAAAGATTATGGCTATACCCGACTTCCTCAGAATGCCCCTTTTCCACTTTGCTTGCATTGCATTGGAGAATGCAGATTACCGTGAGATACTAATGTGCATGCCTGATGATGGTAATGTGGTCGGTTGGCTTGCGGCATTGAAGGCCTCCAAAGGACTGTGAGTCCTGCAGTTTGTTGTTTTTGGGAAAAATGGAAACTGTTTTGGGTGTTTGTGGACATGACTTGTTCTATTATGTTTCTTTATTTTTGGTTTTTCCTAGCTTCGCTTATCAGTATTGTTAATTAAAATTAATGTTTTGGGTAAATGGATACGGACCTAATGTCGAACATTTTATACAGTATTGCTTCATCGAAGCGTGGTTTATGTTTACTGTAGCAGAATTCCCAACTAGAATTGTTCAATTTCATTGACTGCATTCGTCTTTATGGTTTGTAAGAAAATATGGATGTATGCATGGGTGTTGCCATTCTTTTTATTTTGTGCATTAGTGTAGATGTTCCCCGAACGTCCCGGGGAGGGAGGAATCCCCCGTTTTGTTCATTTTGGGCTCACTACAGTTCGGACTCAAATTGTCACGGTTCTTAATCTGAACCAAAGAGTCCAAATCCGGCAAATCATTTCAGAAAATAGATTTTTAGAAAGAAGTGCCAAACATGGACTGCTTTGTCAGATACAGAGTCGTCACCTAAATATTTTATTTTGGGAGAATTTAGGAAACCCTGACTCGTTTGCCTAAGGCCATGTGTCTGTCATCACCAGAGTTGCCTTGGCTTGGGAACTTGGGTACGATTGGGGAAGGTCAGCTATGAGCACCTCTTTTGCCCGATCCGAAGATCGGCCTCTACTAACCATGATATCTTGTTTTGAAAACATTATGCGTTCTTATTCCGATTATTAGCCTAGATTTACTATGTGATGCGCACAGCATACAAGTATAGACTGAATCGCCTGAGTTAGAACAAAACATTTCATGTTTATTTTTTAAAGCAGTTTGCTACTCGTAAGTAGGCTAAAATGCAGGTTTTGCCACCCTCGAGTGGGCTTTAGAAAAGATGGTTTTTGCCACTATCAAGTGGGCTTAAAACTCACGGTTTTAATGCATTATTCCAATTCAGGTAATTCGACCTCTATCTAAAGGCATTCAAGTAGTTATATCACATAAGCAAATAGCCTCATAGTAATCATGCTGTCATGGCAACACTCACACGCATGCAAGGATGCTAAAGCGTAAAAGTTTACCGAGTACTCCAAGCCAAAACAAAAGCTATGTTAAAAATCCATACATGATCCTAACTATACAGAAATGCCTAATGCAACACATGCAAGAATGTGAATACAATAGGCTCGGCTATTCTAAAATGACATGCGAAATGCTACAACTAACATGTATTCAATTTGGAATCGAAACACAAATGCAGTTAGTATGATGCGCCGAGCCCGGTGCATACAAGACAAATATATGAATGCACGCATGCATAACATAAGGTATGCTAATTTAAATATGTCCTAATACTAACCATCGAAAGCTAGTAAATAAAAGGGAAGAAAGAAGTAGGGTTGGAAGACATACACACACTCACACACACTTATTACACAATTGCCCTCGCTTGGAGGGTCCAAATAATATTACACAACCAAATGAATACTGTTAAATTAATTATTACAGAACTTCTAATTAATTAACGAATTAAATATAGAAGGAAGATGGCCGCAGCCCCGCCTCGGAATGCGCGAATGGCGCATGCTTGACTCATCTCGTCCGAAAACCCGTACCATGCCACTGTTGCCTCTGTTTACACTGCCTTGCTCCTCTGAAAATTTTCACGAGTCCCAAGGATGCTTCTCTGAATTCACGAGTCCCAAGGATGCTTCTCTGAACACTGAGGAGCATCACCGACCAAGTGGGAACATCACCGGCCAAAGGGAATAGTCACTGACCGTTGGTTTAACTATTGGCTAATTGTATTTGGTCGGTCAGCACAATAAGTAGTCGGTCGGCCAAATGTTCCTGCAGAAATCTGTTTTGACAACAGTAGAGGACAGACAGTGTATGGTATGGGATTTTCAAGCAAATGTGTGTGTGACCGCACTCCCTATCATGCAATGGACTCAAGGGAGCGTGGCTCTCGACCCTCAGGTCATCAATTATGCATTTTGATGCATGATGGCCTAAGAGGCCAAGCTTGCCATTCAATGTAAAATTGTAACAACCCTCATACTGTTTACTGATTATTGACTGATCGATTATCGATAACCATCGATTACCGTTAAACTGAATTGATCATGACTGATAATTGAACTGATTAAAAGTACTGAACTGACTGACTGAAATTGGAAACCGAATTGATTGAGTATATGTTAGTTAAATTGCATTCTATCTGTTTGGCTGTATGATTATCTGTTCATGCTTATATGCTTAAATTGCTAATTGAAGGCCTTATCGGCGGCCGAATCCGGAATCGATTAATGTTTTATGATCGTCATAATTAATGTGAGTTTATGGTGTATTTACCTGAAAACTAATTAGGTATGATTAAATTATATTAAAACAAGCTAATTAAAGAGTTGGACTTAATTACCGTTTTGCCCTTGAGTGGGCCACTACCTCTACACCTTGAGCTCACTATACTTGAGCCAAAAACATTTTCCTCAGCTTTCTTCTTGTTCTTACCGACCTTCAGGGAGAGAGGGAGAGAATAGAATTGTTCTTGGGAGTTTGGCTTAGTCAACTTGAAGAATTGCTTGAAACTGAAGTGTATCTGCCTATTTGAGCTCCCTCACTTCTAATTCTACACCTAAGGTAGATCATTCATCATCTTAATGGTGTCCTTGAGTTGTTCTTGCATGAGTCATGCTTCATTGTAGAACTAAGTCATGAATTGGTTCATTGTTGTTGAATTGAAGCTTAATTGTTGCATGCATGTACATATATTGAAGTTTTGAGGTTGTAGTTCACAATTCCTCACATGCATGTTCATAATTTTGTAATGGTCCATGTTTTCAACTTGTTTTTGGATCAATTGGCTCCCTAGGGCATCAAATTGAAGCTTCAAAATGATTTGAATTCATGCATGTTTGCATGTTCATAATGTCCTTGAAATTGGTTTGAAATTGGGTTTGAATTAAACACCCTTGGGCTTTGACTTCTTAAATTGAGCTTTGAACTATGATATTCTACATGTTTGCAAGTGTTTTTCTGGAAATTCAGCCCAAGAGGATCGGCTTTGATGCATTTAAACTTGAGTTTGAGCTTGGAGGTGCAATCTGGGTTTTCCAGATTTCGCACTTCCGCTCGAGCGGGGAAAGTTACGCTCGAGCGTGGAATCCGAGCAACCAGCATCTCTCTGCACTGTTTTGCAGTCCGCTCGAGCGGAGGATTGGGCGCTCGAGCGGAGTCATGTCTCAAGCTCGAGCGGGCGTCGAGCGGAGATTTCACCCATCCAGTACTTTTACAGTACGCTCGAGCGGGAAATTTTACGCTCGAGCGTGTACCTTTGTTGCATGACCGCTCGAGCGGGGAAACTTGCGCTCGAGCGGGACTCTGTTTTTCTGAAATTTTTTTAAATGTGCATCTTTGCATCCTCATCCCATTCTAGGCGTTCTTAGGCCTAGTTTAAGACATCTTATTGGGGATATAGATGTAGAACACACCGAGACAAATTAGGGTTTAAGTTGTTATCTTTCCCAACTGTGTAGCTTAGTGTGTGTTCAATCTGTTAACTGTGTAGGGTTGGCAACTGGGGAGACACGCTCTAGCATACTGTAGCCCAGAACTCTGAGGTTGGTAACCTCAACTTGGCCATTGGCTTGGGGATGACCTGGGGAAGAGAAACATGGTCGGATTTCAAGTTCAGCATAGAATTTCCTGAACTTGGCATTGTCAAATTGTTTGCCGTTGTCAGAGACGATAGCTTGGAGGATGCCAAATCAGCACACGATCGACTGCCAGATGAATTTGGTTGTGTTTCGCTCGGTAATTGTGGCAAGGGGTTCCGCCTCCACCCATTTAGTGAAGTAATCAATGGCAACTA